GACCCCCTCTCACCAACTTACTGGTCACCCAGCTCCCCCTCCTCTGCCCACTACTAGCTGACATCATCAGCCAGTTCCTCTCCTCCGGATCAGTCCCTGCCTCCCTCAAAACTGTTGTCATCACCCCCCTCGTGAAAACCCCCCCTCTGGATCCCTCAAACCCCAGCCACTACCACCCTATTTCTAACCTGCCCTTCCTCTCAAAAGTTCTATAACGTGTTGTTGCCAATCAACTCCGCGCACACCTCTCCTCCCACTACCTCTTCGAACCCCTCCAGTCCGGTTTCCGCCCTCCCCACAGTACAGAGACTGTGCTTGTGAAAGTCACAAACGACATCCTCTCTATCTGTGACCAGGGCTCCCTCTGCCTCCTTGTTCTCCTGGATCTCACCGCCACGTTCGACACAGTCGATCACGCCATCCTCCTCCACCGCCTATCTTCCGTCGTCTACCTCAGTGGGACCGCACTCGCCTGGTTCGAGTCCTATCTCACAAACCGCCAGCAGTACATCTGCACAAATGGCTTCTCCTCCTCACCCGGTCACCTGCGGGGTACCCCAAGGATCCATCCTTGGCCCCCTCCTCTTTCTGATCTACATGCTCCCTCTTGGGGATGTCATCCACAGACATGGGGTACATTTCCACATGTAGGCAGATGACACCCAACACTATTTTTCCACCTCTCTTTGTGACCCCCAGTCCCCTGATGTTCTGTCAGTCTGCCTGTCAGATCTCAGAGGCTGGATGAGCGCAAACTTCCTTCAGCTGAACGCTGACAAGATGGAAGCCATACTCTTTGGCTTTCATCAATGTCTAAAATCTCATGGCTCTCACCTCCTCCACCTACCCGACCTCCCCCTAAAACTCTCCGAACCCGTACGCAACCTAGGCATCAGGTTCGACCCCCAATTATCCTTTCTCCCCCACATCCGGTCCCTCACCAGCACCGCTTTTTTCCACCTCTGACGCATCGCCCGTCTCCGCCAATACCTCACTCCAAAAGCCACTGAAACTAGTCCATGCCTTTGTCACTTCTCGGCTGGACTACTCTAACGCCCTCCTCGCCGGTCTCCCATCCACTACCATCCATAAAATCCATATCATTCAAAACTCTGCAGCCCGCATTCTCACCCGCACGAAACTCCGCTCCCCGATCACCCCAGTCCTTGCCAGACTGCACTGGCTGCCTATCCCAGAGAGGATCGATTTCAAGATCCTCACCCATGTATTCAAGTCCCTGCACTACTCTGCAGCCCCCTACCTCTCTGACCTCCTCTCTCCTCAAAACAGTACCAATTGCCTTTGTTCCTCTGGCCTCCTCCTCGTCCCCCAATCCACCACTCCACCCTCGGCAGCCGTGCCTTCAGCTACTATGCCCCGAGACTCTGGAACTGCCTTCCTCACTCCCTTCGTCTCGTTCCCTCCCTTCCCATTTTCAGCTCTCTGCTGAAGATCTTTCTTTTCTATCGCGCCTTTGGTCACCTTCCTCCCCCTCCCCCTGGCTCAGTCCCTGGATCCGTTACTATAAAGCACTCTGATACGCCATGCGGCGTGGAGAGCACTATATAAATCTAAGTTGTTGTTGTTGAAGAGTACTGTCTGGCAAGCTATCTTACGCTTATCTAGCTCGGTCCACTCTACCCATTGAGGGCTTTGGCTTACATAGTTAGCAGAAGCTGATTGGGAAGATTGCCTGTTCCCAGTCCACTCTCTAAGTATTGCCAATGAGCCAGGTTGGCTGATCTGTCATCATCAGTTCCCTGGAGTTCTGGGAACCCACCTGACTCGGGAACCAAACTACCACTCGATTTGAAAATTCCATTGTGAAAGCGTGCCACTTTCAGCTCAACACCCCCACAAGGAGGATAGTCCCAGTTGGTTATCTATTTGATATCTGACAAGTGTAGGTTTGAGCCCTCTCTCAGTTGATAGAAAGACCTGGCAACTTCTTGTGTGCTTCTAGGTGACTAGCACAGCTCAACATGAAATGAATGAGAGCACTGCCACCATCCTCCTGCCCACGGCTGGGACGTATATTCATACCCACTGAGCAATGGTTACACCAGATAGAAGAGTGGAGCTTGAGCACCAGCTGTTTTCTTCTCTGCATACCAATCAGGGTGAATCCCAAGCTCCGGATATAGATAAATAGGACCCTAAGAACACATTTGATGTGGTGAAAAAATGTACAACAAACGGACATTAACTCAATCTCAGAAGAGGAAAAGTGAAGAAATAGTTCAGATTTAATGACACACTACACAGAAGGAGTGGTGGACATCACTGCATACCAAAACTCTACTCCACATGAATGGCACTATATAAATGCAAGCTGATTGCAGTATTTAAGGTTCTGAAGGAAATTGATAATGTAATCCATGATAGGCTGTTTAGAACCAAAGGACATTGCCTGCGATTGAAGCGGGGTAAATTCAGAACAAATTTGTAGAAACACTACTTCAGTGAGCGAGTAGTAAACTTATAGAACAGGCTCTCTAGGGAGACAGTGGAAGCAGAAAATGTTGCTTGTTTCAAGAACAAATTAGATAGATTTCTGCTAGAAAATAATATTTCGGGATACAGTATATAGTTTAGGACACAACATGTCAAGCGACTGCCAGGATAGTGGAAGGCGAACTAGATGGACCTTGATCTTCTTTCACCTAGCAATTCTTATGTTCTTGTATTCATATGTTCTCATCTTCCCTCTAAGTTCAAAAAGTTCAAAAGGGAATTAAAGAACTATTTAGTGAAGAATTCTCTTGAAGGATATGAGAGATAGCGCAGTATAGGATTATTTATTCTTCTTAAAATTTTCTTTATTTTTTAAAATACGTTGCCTACCAGATAGATGTAACACTCTTTTGGGGATCTGTACATTCCTATGTTCCTTTGTAAGATGAGCTGCTAAATATTAAGAAAGCCAGAGGGACTGGTGAAACCTCTTAAAGCGGATGATTAGTGTCAGGGCAAGAATTTATGTGCAAAAGTCCTCAGATTGGCAGGATTTAAGTCTTGCTTTGCCGAAGGCCTCCAATTAGGCTCAAAGGGTTTGTGAATTATAGCTCTTCACTTTTGATGTGGAGGTGCTGCAGTGACTTAAACTGAGTGATCCCCAGGGACTATCTTTCAGTGGGCAGAGTAAAAGTTCATGGAGCATTGGTTTATTTAACAAACTTGTGAGGTTTTTTTTATATCCCTCCCTGCTGTGTTTCGCCATCCACTTCAGGACACAACATGACCTCCTCTGTGTAAATAAACCCAAATTCTACAGAAACTCAGAGCTGCCAAATAGTCACAATTCATGCGAATCCTGTCAAACTATTTTCATTGCAGCATATGCACTTTAAATATAATGTGCATCAGCCTGGCTCAATGGTAGCACTCTCGCCACTGAGTCAGAGGGTCATGGTTTCAAGTCCCATGTCGGCACTTGGGACCACATAGTCTAAACTGATGCTCCAATGCAATGCTGGGGGGGGTATTGCATTGTTGCAGGTGCCACCCTTTAAACCAAGGTCCCATCTCCCTGCCTGTTCAAGTGGACAGGCAGATGGGACCTGGAGTGAAAGATCCCATACTCTATTTAAAAAGAGAAGGATGTTCTCCTGGTGTCCTGACAAGTAAATTGGTTATTCACTCCACGGTTGTTTCAGGGACATTGCTGTGCGCAGCTGACTGATGCATTTCACTTCCAAATACACAGTCAATTGACTTTACAAAATATTCTGTGAAGTGCTTTAAAACTCCTCAACAACTCGATAAGCTTCTATATCAAATGCAAGTATTATTATTATTTATTAAGCATTGCAGTTGAAGAATCAATGTAAAAATTACAAATATATTTGCCCCTAATTTATAATGATTACACAAGTAAGTAAGGGTAAGTAATGATATAATAATCTTTGCATTTGTTATAGTGTCTTTCATATCTGGAGGATATCTGCAACATTTTTACAGGATCGACTACAGAGTGTAGATACTGTATATTTGTAGGCAAACACTGCAGCCAATTTGTGCACAGCAATATTCCGCAAACAGCCATGAAGTGAATTACCAACTTCATCTGGGCGATTGTTGGCCAGGATATCGATTGTTAGCTTCCACCTGAACAGACAGATGGAAGCTCAGTTTAATTTCTTGTATAAAGGGTGGCACCTCCAACCTCCAAAACTGTCATGCTTCCCCAGCATAGTCTATGAGCTCAAAGTTCCAATGTATGGTTTGAACCCAGAAACTTCTGATTCAGAGGCTAGAGTGCTACCAGTAGTGAATACTGAATGCATCATGCTTGTCCCTCTGAAACTGCTGGAAATCAATATCACATTCAAGGGAGAAATTCTAAATTAGGATCTAGATTTGTTCATTTCTTTAGGATTTCAGTCTGTGGAATTCGGAAAATTGTACCGTCAGATTTCTGTAGTTCATGAAAGAAGGTAGAGAAAACTAGGTTCAAAATGAAACCTTTATTTCTGAATTTGCTAAATACTGGATGTTCTGAATTTCTACTTTAATGGAGTAAATCTAGATTCAGGTGGAATTTCTACCCCTTCTAGTTACAAAATCATTTGTGGATATTAAAATCTAATTCCCAGTATTTGACCAATACTTTAGTACGTATGAACCAAAGATATATGGTACTGTTGGAGTGTCTGTACAGTATGCATTGTTTTTCTTACACTGAATAAGATAAAGTTGAACATAATTTGTGGCAAAACATGCTTATTCATAATTGAGTGCACAGTACTTTTCAAGTGTTCTGTAAATAGGGAGTTGTGACAGGTCTGCATTAAGGAGTTTAAGCCTACAGTCACCTCCCCCTTCGCCCTCCCTTGGCATCCAACCCCACCACTGTACAGCGCTCCGAGATGCTATGCTGCATGAAGGCGTTAAATAAATGCAAGTTGTTGTATTCATTGTATTCATTGTGCACATTCAATCACCAGCTCCACTGATATTTAATATATTTTCCATATTACTGTGAAAATTGTTATTTTCAGAAGCACAAGAGTCTAATCTGGAAACCGAGACTCCCACTCCAGCAGGCACAGATCACGCCCCAGATCGACCAGCAGGAACTAACCTCAGGCCTATACCAGCTCCTGACAAATCTTATGACATTCAAAATTCACCTGATACAGAGTTCGAAAGAAGATCCAAACGAATAAATCAGAAACCAAGAGAGCCTCAGGTAGGAGTCAGTTATCACAATTCCTGGAATCATTCACAGCAAAGAACTTAATTTCTACGCTCGCGAACTTTATTATTAATAAGAATTTGGTATAGCACTTTTAAACATTGTTATTGAGACATCTCAAAGTACTTCACAGGATATTCTGTAATGTGGAGCTATTGTGTGGGGAAAATGCAACTTATTTGGCTTTAATGGAAACTTTGCTTAAATACTGGAGTCCAATCAGGCCCCAAATTCTGATCTTGGGAAGTGGTCTGTCCAGGTCTTTTCATGGGATTCAGCCCTAACTCGGATTGATTTAAACTAATGATTCCTGAATAAGCTCTAAAAAGCCATTTTCAGCATTTATATACGATCCTTGCCAAGCAGAAAGTAAAATAACAACCAGGGCTTTTCAGCTGAGTTTGGACATTACCATTAAATAGAAGTTTGGGGAATTTGAAAACACTTTCAATGCCATTTCGTAATGCTTTGAAAAACTCTGCAATTTTGACCTGATTTTTTCAAAGTGTTGGTAGTTAGACCATCATTACATGACATGTTTAGGATTTATTACTTTATTGTGACAATTGTGTATTATAACAGGTCGTGTCACTTATTGCGAAGTGACTGCTGTCACAATATTTCCACTTTTGCGGTTCCAAATGGAGTCGTATTTGTTCAGTCAATTGACCAACACTAATAGTAGGTATGTCATCTCAATTGATTTTGCATCAATTGAGCCCCCAGCTTGGAGTGTTTTGCACTTCAGGTTGAGTTCATGGTACTAACGCCGATGCTATTTATTCCCCTCCTTTTACTATAACGGAACTTGAGCAGACTTTATAGAAGTTCAGAAGTAATTTTTATTAATGCATTTGTCCTGACAACTCAATCACGATAATAAACTGTTGCAACTTTCAACAGCAAAATTTCTATCTGAGAACTAATAAGCGAGGAAAGAAAGGAGAACAAAATTGGAGAGAAAATGAGTGAAGGGAAAGAAACAATAGAAACACAAATAGAAAGGAGCAAACAAAAAATCCAAGAAGAAATTCAGAATTTAGCTTCACCTCTCCTTTTTGGTTGAATTATTTTATTCTTTGCTGGATCTTCTTCACGCACTTTCTCTGTCAGGTAGGATGGGCTATAGCCAAGCACTCTACTTCTCTGTAGCCAGATATTAAGAGACTTTAGTCAGTAGTTAGATGAGTTCTCATTGGAATAATAACAAAATAATAATCCTTGCATTTGGCATGGTGCCTTATCATGTTATCGAGATGTCTCCAAAGGGTTTCACAGAATGTGGTGTAACTGTATATTTTGTGGAAGAATGTGGATGCCAATCTGCACACAGCAATATCCCACACACATCCGTGAAGTGAATAACCAAGTTTATTTTGGGGAATGTTGGCTTGGACACTGGGAGAAACTCTCTTCTCTTTATGAATAGTGCCATGGGTTCGTTAACACTCACGTGAACAGGCAGATGGGAAATAATTTAACACCTCATTCAATTAGTATTTTTTTATGATCGATTATATTTTCTCATAACAGATATACTTTTACAAAAAGAATTTCAGTACGTTTACCAATTGTGTATTCATCATGCAGTCCTCACAAATTGCCAGAAGGAGGCATGATTGCCTTCTGGATCAAGTGGTTTGGTACAGTTTCTGGCAAGCGGCTCACGGTTCAATACATCCAAATACATCTGTTTCTAGTAGATTAAATTGACTTTGCAACTGCTTAGTTACTTTTAAATGTATATATATATATTATTAAATATGGTACTAATGCTGATACTATATATATATATATATATTAGTGTTCAGAAATCAATGATTTCAAAGTGGGATTCCTAAATTATAGAATCTGAGCGGGGAAATTTTCAGTAACCAGAATTCTGAATGTCACATCATTACGACTGCTGAAAGCTTCACTCTGGCACTAGTTTGTGTCAGAGGTAGTTCCCACAAGTAAGCATGGCATACTGACAGAATCCTGATTGTGTTTTATACCCCAGTTCACAGCCCATCCTCTTCGCTCAGTAGACAGAGGCCTACCCTGATCCTTCTACACTATACTCAATGACTGTGCCTTCAGTCACTATGTCACTGTCTTCAATCGCTATGCACCTAACCTCAAAACTCCCTGCCTCTATCTCTCCACCTCTCTCCCTCTTTATTTATCTTTAAATTCTTCCTTAAAACCTACCTCTTCCACTGAGCTTATGGTCACCACCCCTCCCCTATCCTCCTTGCTCAGTATCCAACCCCACGACTGTGGAGCGCTCCAAGACTCTATCCTTCAGGAAGGGCATTATATAAATGCAAGTAGTTGTTCTGGTTGTAAAACCTGCACTTAAAATCAGCTTTGGTTTGAATAAACTACAGAACTTAAACTCATCTTTATCCAATGGAATGTAAGGACAAGAGGTAATGAATTATAACTGGGGAGTTCAGAAGAACTTCTTCCCCCAGAGGGTTGTCAGGCTATGGATGATTTTCCAGGACTGGCTGTTACAGCAAAGTCGCTTGGAACATTTAAAAAGGAATTGGTTAAGCACCTGCGGGTATTAATGGGTTTTAGATGGTATTGGGTAAGAGTAGGAAATTGGGATTAGGATTGATGGCTTCAAGGAGAAGCAAATACCAACATAAAATGATAGGCCACAGTTCCTTCTGCTGTGCTATACATTTTTGAAAGTTCTATGAAAAGGAAAAAGTTGGATGGTTATTATCTTGTTATCTTGCTGGTAGTTACATATTGGTCTCTTCTCTTTGGAACTCCATCTCAGAGTCCCTATGACTTACTTCCCCCTCTCCATTTTTAAAGCCAAATTAAGACCTATCTCTTTTACCACACTTTCAGTTTGCACTCCCTCACCCCCCCCAACCCTGCCAGCTATGTAAAGCAATTTGAGGGATGCTGCTGACACAAAAGACGCTATAGAAATGTAAATTGTATTGTAAAATTGAATTATACATTTCAATTCACGCCATGCTGGAAATCTTGTGAAACCAGTATGAAATAATAATTAATCCTTGAATTTAATAAAACACCAAAACAAGTAACTGCTTTAATGACAATGTTGTGTTTATTAGGTCCAGGGTGCATGCCAGGCCGAAATGCAGCGAGCTATTGCAAGGATTACTTTGGTTCAACAGCGTGGTAATGAAGAACTTTACAGGTTTCACATCCCTAACTGTGACAAAAGAGGACTCTACAACCTAAAACAGGTAGATGAATTTTGTTTTTACAGTGGCATGGATGATAAGGGATACTTAGGAATAAGGAATGTGAATTTCCATCGGCAATAGATTTCCATCACCCCATCCTGATGCCTCTATTTTCTTTACCTGCATTTCCTGCATAGAAATCACACATACTGAAAGATCACTGAAATCTTGAGTCTGGTGAAAAGAAACTCTTACCCAGAAGTTCCAGTACTGCTCCTTATCCTTTTATTGCCCAGCTTTTCATTGTACAAGTGGGTACAACGTAAAATGTAGTGAAGTGGTTTTATATCATTTAGTTCCAGTGCCGTGAGTTTGATAGTTAAACACTACAGTGTCTAAAATAGGAGAGGGGAATTTGTACATATTTCATTTTTTAAAAATTGAATGAAACTAGATTTTCTAAATTAAAAGATTTTCTAAACAGAAGAGTATTGGTTTCACCCAAACCGCCAAGGGACATGGGTTCAAGGAAAGATCTTTATCGTCAAGTTGACAAATGTAACTATTGTCAGGTTCACTATCTATTTTTGTAGGCAACACATCAGCCATTTGCACCTCTCAAACAGCCATGAGGTGAATAATCAATTCATTTGGAGGATTGTTGGCCAGAAGAAACTCCCTTCTCTTTCGACGAGTGCCATGGGTTCCTATTGTCCATATAAATGGAAAAATGGGACCTTGGTTCACTCCCTCATTTGAAAGATGGTAAATCCAACAATGCAGCAATCCCAGTATTGCCCTGGAGTATTATCTTAGACAATGAGCTCTATTCCAACATAGAGGCTTAGGACTACAAATATCTGATCTAGAAGGGAGGGTACTACCATTTGAAGAAACCTGTACCTCAGTTATTTGACATTTCAATACACCTGTTGTGCTTGTGATGATGATAATGTGTGTATGTGTGCGTGAAAATTTTGGTGTGTGTATGTGTGTGTTTGTGCATACTTGTTGCTCCTGTTTAACCCAGCAAGCCAAAGCCCTAATAGGTAGTCCTAGCTGGACAAGCAGGGGGAAGCTTGTCAGGCTGTACAGTTTTAGCTGGTCAAACTCCAATGCACACTCTAAGGTGTCCAATTTGCATTTAATCTAAATACAATTTATTGCTGTTGTAATACCCTCCAATTAGGTAAACAGGGCGCCTCCAGGGAGTGAGTGCTTACTAGATTCCAAACACACAGAAATCTCCATATGTAGGTGTTATATATATATATATTATATATATGTGAAACTCTCAGTCTGGTTTAGATACTCTTAAGCAAGGAGATGGGCGTGTGTCAGACACTTAGCTGACAATTTTTTTTACCTGGGGTAAGGAAAGGATTCAATTTACAGTAGAAAAATGTGGGGTTAATTCAACCCTATAATTTAGCATTAGGCAAATAAACTAACGCTACTTTGCAGAGTTTGTAAACAAAAAGCATCAATCCTACCCAAAGAGGGATAGATTTTACAGTTCCAAAAATGCTACTTTCTCTTTAAATGTGTAGTAAGACTAAATACTGTACAATATCACAATAAGGATTTTGTATTCCGAAAGATGGCACGCATAATTGGCCATGAGTCGCTATGAATAGACAGTATTCTGTTACAGTATACAGCATCAGCTTTTTCTACTACCAGACAGACAGGGAGTAATCACTGGTTTATATTATCACACATGTGTTATTCATTATTTCATAGTTAACTACATGGGGAATAGCTTTGCAGAGCTGGTGAAAATATAATAAATATAGATGTTTAAAATTGTATTTTGTATTCCGGTTTACAGCATAGTTTAGTAAACTACATTTCATTAAATATGTGGAGGAGATACTATGGATTGCACATGACAGCCTGAGGGGTTTCATATAATGAACTGACAATGATGTGCAACCCTTTACTTACCTTGTCAGTGAATTTTGCCCATGGGGTGAACACCCAATTTTATAGCTATTTGCTGCAGACGTTTAGAATTTTACAACCCAGTGGAAGATCCAGGATTTGATTTGAAATGTGACTCAGGAAAAGCCAACCATTTATATCCTCCTTTGTTCTGAAGACCAGCTGTGACAAAATTGAAATGTCCTGTGACCCTGTGACTGTTAATATATCAGTGGTCTGGAATCCCCAGCATCAAACATTTTGCTTTGGAGCGAAATCCACTGACTAATATAATGGAGAGAATGAGCGTGCCATCTGGTGGACCAGGAGGGCATTCCATTCAGTGTTTTGTCTTGTTTTGTGGCAATTACAAGACCAATAATGAGGTTCGATAATGAAGACCTTTTGGCTCATTTGATCTCATTCTTTCACAGTATTCACCCTCTTGTATTCTAGCAATCTCTGGGACACCCAAGCATTGGCTCTTGCCAACCTGCACCTAATATTTTCAGGAATTAGGTAAGCAGGATGCATCACTCCAGGGAGAGAGTGTGTATGCCATTCCAACAATCTATCAATTTCCATGTGTAGGTGGGATGCATGGAGTTCACAGCTTGCTTTGGATACTCCCATAACCTCTGGTGATGGGTTTCTGCTTATGTCAAACACCTGACTCACCAAAAAAAAATCTATAACGACTCCTCTCAGATGTCTTCTTTAAAAACTGAAGAGCTTGTCTAATCGTTGCTCCTGGGATTATGTTCTATAAATCCTGAGATTTTGGGAGCACCATTAGTATATGGGATTCCAGGAAGTGGGATTGGGATTCAAGTTATTGCAACCCCTAGCTGTGAGCAAAAATGGACATTCTTCATGTGTGACCATAATTTGTGAATACAGGTGGGTTACTTGACTGTAGAAGGAGGGCATCACACAAGCCTGGACCCATCCTTAGCTGACATTCACGTTTTATACTTTCCAGCAAAGGTCCACGGATATATATAATATAAGATATGGCCATTTAAGAGTGAATTCAGGAAGCATTTTTTCACTCAAAGAGTAGAAATCTGGAATTCTTTGCCCCAAAAGGCTGTGGATGGTGGATCCATCCACACCTTCAACGGTGAGATTGATGGATTTTTGGTAAGTCAGGGTATTAAGTGATATGGGGAGAAAGCGGGAAATTTGAATTGACAGGATTAGTTGAGGTACAGTTCAGCCGTGATCTAACTGAATGGCGGAACAGATTTGAAGGGCTGAATGGCCTACACCTGTTCCTACGTTCCTAACCTTGCATGATTTGGGGCCTTCTAGCACACGGCACTGATTCCTGACTATATTGTTCCTGAAATTAACTCAGTACAGACTGTAATCAAACCTGGGACCTTCCAGATGTGCAGAGCAGTGCTTTTGCAAACCTTGTGTTTGGTAGAGCTAATATAGCCCCTTTAAAAGGAAGAACAGATGTCAACTGTATACTTCCTGTGTACAATAAAAAAAGTAGTCCCTGGAAACACTCAGCAGGTCAGTCAGCATCTATGGAGAGAGGAAAGTGAATTAACATTTCAGGTTGACAACAAAAGGTCATCGACTTGAAACATTAATTCACTTTCCTCTTGCCATAGATCCTGCCTGACCTGCTGAGTGTTCCCAATTACTTCTGTTTTTATTTCAGATCTGCAGTATTTGGCTTTTACTTTCTGTGTATAGTTTGTTTGTCCACAAAAAACAGTCATATCACTTTGCAATATATCCTGTGAAGCACTTTGAGATGCCTTGATGATGTGATGAAGCACAACATCAAATGCAAGAATTATTTAATTTATTATTATTACAATTCCCCAACTCTTCTGCTACCCCCTACACACACACACACACAAAATCAGCAAAGCACTTTGAGACTTCCTCCCAATGCAAAAGGCATTATATAAGTATAAATTGCATTATATTATTATAATGGAAGCTCAATTTATTTTTGGGACTTGGTCTTTGTAAAATAACCAAATTATTGTTCTTGATTATTAGAAATAATAAATATTGTGTGCTTGCATTTTCTAGTGTGAATCTTCGCTGGATGGTCAGCGTGGAATATGTTGGTGTGTTTTTCACTGGAATGGGAAGAGAATTCCCAATTCTCCAGAAGTTAGAGGTGATCCCCAGTGCCATCGGTACGTGCCTTCAGGACAACAAAAGTAAAGTAACTAAAGTGTCTTAAGAAACTGGTAGCGCCTAGAATCTTTGATTTTCTTCCACACACCAGAGCACGGCATTTGAAGATGATATCTGTAAGGTTGCAGTTATCTTTGATGTTATGTGAGCTATTTATTTCCTACTCTGTTTTTTAAAGATTTCATTTTCAAAATAATGCAAACTATTACTTTTAGTATGGGTGTGTATGTCAACAGTATATGTTCAGTCCACTGAAACAAATCTACTATTGCCAGGTACACTTTCAATGCACTACTGGGTAAATACTGGGTAAATCATGGGTATGAAAATACAGCTATTGCAAATAATGCATCATGATGAAAGCAGAGTAACTGGGTCCACTGTAAACCTAACAGTGCAGATTGGTCAAGGTGATTGGTTACAAGTCTGACAAAAGATAACTGTTTCCAGGGTATCAAAATAGTCCAATAAAATGTAATTGTTGAGTTTGGAAATCTATCCTATACACACAATTTGCTTTTGTCAATGTGAATTCACCATTACATCCATTGCATCCAAACTTCTTCCTCAATATATGACTATCCAGCAAGTTTATTCAAATGCCTATGTCATAAAACATGTAGAAGGGTGTTTCAAAGGTTAGGTTGTTACATGTTGGGGTTCAGATTAGCTTTATAAACTTTACTCTTTTAGTTTATGACATTGTCTGTACTGGAAATGCTCTGGCCTTCATCATAATCCGTAGACATCTATTATCCTCTGTATAACATCTTGCATATCCAACATAGTTTCAGTAAATCAACTGTATTTGTTTAATAAAAAGTGTTTTGATGTTGAACAGAAATGTTTTTAATTATGGAATGAAATGCAAAGATAGTTGTTCTCTACTATAAATCATACTTTCAGGTTATTGAGAATATTTTTTTAAAAGTGCAAAATTCCACCCTCATTCTTAGAGATTTCTTATATTATTTTCGAACTTTAGTAATACTGAAATAGCTAAACTATTCAATGCCAATCCTTTGTACTCCCAACAATCCTCAGTCACTGCTAAATGCTATGTGCGCAATACCTTTGAGCATTTTTGTATTATTATTGCTATATTAGTAAGAGTCAAATGAACTTTTGAAATGGATTTTCTGATTTATTCTTATCCCCTGAAAAATCAATATTAACTTAAACAAAACCTGCCTGTGCAAAAGAAGATGTTAGTCTGAAATTACATGATACTGTATTTCAACAGTGCTCATCGTATTAAAGCAGGGCTTGCACTGCAAGTCTCCCAGTGGAGAATAATAGAAACATTTTAATGCTAATTATTCTTTGGAGGCTTAAAAAAAAACTTTAAATTCATCTGGGTTATCTGAAATAATCAACCTGTCGCTACATAGTAAGTTGTCACAAGATGCAACAAATTTCACATCCTTGTTATTCAGATAATATTCATCATCAGCCTCAAGCATAGTTTCAGCCAATCAACGTTTGTATTTGTGTAATAAAAATATTCTGAATATCATCAAGACCCAATGGTCCAAATGGCCTTCTTCTGTGCTCTAAATTTCTAACTTCTCATAATCTTTGCATTTGAAATAGTGCTTTATCATATCTCAAAGCACTTCAGTTTTTTAAGTAAAGTGATTATATATTTGTCATGAACACAACAGCCAATTTGTACAGAACAATGGATGCTGGATAATTGAATTATGGCAGCATGGAATTTCAGCGGTGTTGCAATCATTATGTTCTGTGTACTTTCTTTCTTGCAAATAGTAAAACACAATTTTGTGAAGTTCAATATTAATGAATGCAAGTTACTGCATGTAAGAAGTAAGAATAGTAATAATAATAGTCCTTACATTTGATATAGCTCTTTGCATAATAATAATAATAATAATCCTTGCATTTGGTGTAGTGCCTTATCACGTCTTTGAGACGTCTCAAGCGCTTCACAGAATATACTGTAAAGTGAACTGACTGTATATTTTGTCAGTGAAACGCGTGTGAGGAGGATGTCTCAAAATGCTACACCATAAGGTGTAGGGACTGTGTATTCTGTAGGCAAGGAAGGCAGTCAATTTTGTGCACATCAATGTTCCATACACAAATGGTCATGAAGTGAATGACCAATTTTATCTAGGTTAGCTAGGACTCGAGGAGAAACTCCCTTCTCTTTTTGAATTTCAACAGCCGTGGATTGAGTGCCATGAGAACTTTAAGGTCCACCTGAACAGGCAGATTATCTACGATGAATACAGTTTTGCTGCTTTCACTTCTGGAAGTTTAGTCATCTAATTAACCATTCCTGATGTATTATCACCTTTTCAAATAAGTGGTGTATGTTTACACAAAAATTAGCCATTATCATTTTCATTATGCAAGTTTTATTTAAAACATATACAGCAGTTTACATAGTTGGCTTTCACAGTTAACACTCAGGCAGCAGTAGACCATTGGTCCATTTATCCTAAAATTTCCCAAATAATGCCTGTGACACATCTGTCTCAGCTCCTGCCCCAGAATCCTTTTAACTTCCAAGTACTTGTCCAGTACCTTTTTGAAACCCTTTATAGTTCATTGTTCCACCAATTTTGCTGGTATTTTGTTCTGAGTGCCCATTACAAAATTAACTTCTCAATTGCTTTCTGTTTGCTCTTGTTATCTTTATTTTTAAACTGACCCCTTATCTCTGAATTGTTTTAACAGAAGAAAATCTTGTCTGCAACCAAATATTCCAAACCCTTCATAATTTTAATATATCTATCAAGACCCCTCAGTCTTCTATAACAAAAAAATCCTTGCATTTGATATAATGCTTTTCTAGACATCTCAAAGCGCTAAAGTGAATTGACTGTATATTTGTGGGTGAAACATGGCAGCCAATTGCGCACAACGGTGTCCCACAAAAAGCCATAGATTGAGTGACCAAATTATTATTTTTTTCTTGTGGGATTATTATCAGGCTTGTGGAGTAAGGAAACTTGCCCAAAGTTTCGCCCTGCTGGGAATTGAACCCAGGCCTCTTGCTTGTGAGGCAAGTGCTCTAATAATCACTGAGCTACAGGAATCCACAGAACTTCTGTTCAAGAGTGAAGAGTGTTAAGTTAATAAGGTTTCTCAAAAGTTCTGACCTTGGAGTTCTGAAATTAATCTAATAGTTTTAAGTAACTTCTTCAAAACAATCTATAATCCTTGCATTTGATATAGCACCTTATCATGTTGTTAAGGCATCGCAAAGCTCTTCACAGAACACACTGTAAAATGACTTGACTGTATATTTTGGGGGCAAAATCCAACAATTTGTATTTGCACTGTCAAAGCCACATAACCATCTCTTAATTATGGCTAGTATGGCTTTGACAGTGCAAAGTGTGACTCAAGATAACTTCATACTATCCCTTCATTGTTAATTCAAACATTTTATCCATTGTATGATCTGTAGTTTGCACAATTCATCCTTAGTCCCTTTTATTTTACAACATTTTTTGGGTTACTTTTGATATTTTCTCATCTCCTGAAATCTGCCCCAACTCCAGTGAACTCTGAAAAATATAGGTTGATATCTGAAAAATGTAGGTGAAGATGTTCACAATCACATAAGCCGATTTGTTTAGACCCTGTGGTGAAATTTCTTAGTTGACTGGAGCCTCATCTAGCTTGCATTTCTGTAACTTCAGTAAGGTTCAGTGATTTATGAAGCCATCAAATCTATGCTCACCATTACAACGTACAGCGCCAGCCTGGCTAATCAGCAGGACCTGGAAGGGCAGACCAGTCATTTGGGGCTGGGAATTATCCCACTCAGCTCCTGTTAACCCTGCAAGCCAAAGCCCTAATGGGTAGGAGGGTCCTAGCTGGACAAGCAGTGGGAAAACTTGCAAGACAGCAATATCAATGGCAAGCTACATAGTTTAGCTGCTTAGACTCCAGCAGTACCCCCAACACACACTCTGGGGTCCCGAAGCCTTGGCTTTGCCAATCTGCGCCTAATACTTTCCAGAATTAGATAAGCAGGATGCATCCCTCCAGGGAGAGAGTGTGGATTTCATTCCAACAATCTATCTCTGGGATTTCCATGTGCAGGTGGGTGCATGGAATTCTCAGCTTGGTATGGATACTCTTAAACCTGGTGATGGGTTTCCAGATGTGGACACCAGGCTGACCAAAAAAATACTGTACTCCTACCTCTTCTGCAATTTCATTTGTGAAATGTTATGAATTGAAAGGTCATTCAAAATGTTTTTCACTTTACATTCAAAATTTTATTTTCTATGTCTAAAGATTCAATGAACAAAATACTGTAAGAAGTCAAGCATATATAAAAGTAATATTCACAAGTAATAAACTGCAGCAAAACAGCTTTAATATAACCATGTAACTGAGTTAAATAATTGGTACATTCTTTTAACAGACAGACACTTATGCACGAATCTAATCTGACACATGGATTATGTGAAGATTGGATAATGTGATATACAGAAAAGTTGAATGTCTTGCACATGCTGGGTTTTCTGATGTGTTAACATCCTGTAGCCACTAGATGGCAACCTTTACACATGTATTCCTATCTTATTCGCTGCAACTTGTTTCGAACATAATCCATTCCTGAAACTGTTGAATAGCTTTTCTTTTAATCCAACTGTATTACCTAAACTGTAGAAGATACATAAGCATAATGCAAAATTAATGAGTTTAATAAGTGTGATTTGTGTAAGGTTTGGGTATAAATAAATTGGTGACTCGTGCTGTAGAAAATAAAATGCTTAATTTGTCTTCAGTTTAAATAATGTTTATTAAAAAACATAATTATATTAAATACAGAACATATTCTAACAGAATATTCATTTCATTTAAGGAAAAATAGCCATATGACATTTTAGTAACGTGAAAGCTTTTTTTGATAAAGAACAAAGTCCTTTTAAACTTTATAAAAAGATTTACCCGTGAAGGCTAGGTTCCTGTTTCAGACCTGCAGAACAAGACATTTCAAAATATGTAGGATCATACACTAATTTTTTTTAAACATAAAAGAGCACAAAGTCTGTCAGGATCAAATTGGTCACAGGCAGTTCTTAAATAGTCAAGTGGAGATTCCCTGATTCCTTTCTGAAGTGCCTTTTTCTTGGGAACTATAGTGCAGATTTCTTGGGAATTAAGAAGTCCCATCCTTTCAGGGAGCTGGAAGAATATGTGGCAAAGTAGAGCTGGATCTTTAGGGCTGGAGGAAGCCCTTTTCCGAACCTAAACTGGCAGCAGAACTCGCAGCTCTAGAACACAGGCAGTCCATGCCCTCTGCTGGCTGCTCCAAGGTCTCTGATTGATCAGTCTCTCACACAGAGTCCACAGGAGCTGCAGTCTTCCTCACGGACTCAAAAATAACAGCGCAGCTCTCCGTTCCTGTCATAGCTTCCCAGCCTAGTGCCATATTTATCCACGCACCAGCAGATCCCTCTTCTTCTGCCTTTAGATGGTCGGCACTGTTTTTTAAAAAAAAGTTAAAAAATTAAAAGAGAACAAGGCTTCTGATAGTTTTAAGTGCAGAAGAACCAAGACATAATTCACTGCTTCAGGTCAATTAACCCAAACCTCTCATTATACTGGGGCACAGCCAAAAGGCCACATGTCACTTCCTATTCACTGTACATATGTGCAAGAAGTGTAGCTGACATCATTTTCTGAAAAGTGGTCTCCTGAATCCGGATGATGCGCGAGCACTTCCTGCACATACTTTGCAGTACACAGGAAGAGACGTCAATGACAACCCTGGAGCTGGCCAATTTTAGCAAACAGGTAGGGAAGCCAGCTCGTCCCGTGCCAAACAAGCCAACCATTTGCTTTATAAGGAAGTCCCTTATAATGCAGGGATGGGTGGGTCTATGGTATATCTTTAATCACTCAAAATTCTATAGTTATGTTTAGTAGTGAACTGCATGTAAACCCATCAGCAGTCATTTACTACCTTAATACCTCATGTCCCATTATCCATCTGAGAGAAAAAAAAGCAAAGCAATATCTGTGGCAGTTTCAGTTACTTGGTTAATATTGGAATTTGGCAAACTGCTGCAAGTTGCTCAGGCTGCAGGTCCTTCAAAAGCCCAAGTGAAAACAACACAAAAAAAAGTGCCTGCTCTTTCTCACCGATGAATCACAATGTGTAGTAAGCAGCGCACAATCCCAAACCACAAACATAGGTAGGTTGATTTACAGTCGCATCTAGTGAACATCAGTTTAAATTGAATGACATTCACATTTCTGAACATCAACTATTCTCCCATTGTTAATTGGTTTTAGAAGGTTTTACACGAAAGATCTTTAGAAATGTGCTTTGGTTAAAAATACCATAATCCTGTTTTATGTAAGAGCAAAAAATGATCTGAAAACGGTTGCTATGTATTGTCCCCCATCAACATAATGCACTGACAAAATATGTGACAATATAGTCATTCATCTAACAATTAGGACGGAACAATGCAATGGCTTGTTGACGTAAAGGTGGATTTGTTACACTGTGCAGTATATTGTTTATAGAGTTCCCACTTGGATTAGTTGCAACTGCTTCGGATTAAGAATATTTGCGGTAAAATTTTGCCTGGGGCATAAATTCCTTTTGAAACAATGCAATATTTGAAGGTAAAATAGTGCAGCAAATAATATAACCTCTGCAGCACTTAAGACAATGGGATTTTCATTCTCTTGTCATCTACAGCACAGAGGAGGATCAAATTACCCTTCAAATATTCTGCTCAAAAAGCAGTTGGACAAATTCCAGGGCAAGCCTGGTGTGAATAATAATAATAATCCTTGCATTTGACAATTTGACATAGTGCCTTTCTACATCGGGAGGATGTCACACAAGATTTACTGTGAAGGGTAGCATGTATTGTAGGCAAATAAATAACACTACCTGAGAGTTTGTGTCAGTGCACTTCAAAACTCAAAATAAAATGTTCTGGCTATCAACAATAAAAAAAACTAAACAAAATTGATTTGTTAAGATATTATTTGAAAGAAAACTTTAATAAAAAGTCTCCTGGTTTTAAGGGGCTGTCTATTCAGATTGAAAAAAGTGGCAGAAGTTGAAACTCTGAGTCACACCAGCATCAAATAACAATGGTGTCTGGCACAGGAAATGGTACAAATGTTTGTGTTTGAATATTTGCTCAGGAAATCACAAGTTATCAATTTACTCACAGAACATACCCTTTTTGTCACACCTTTGAACAATACATTAGCAAGTGAGTTTTAAAACGCCCTCAAATGGAAGGAAGTACACCAAGGACGCACATCAGCCACTGTACAATTTGGTTGATACAAAATCAATTTTACATCATTTAATAGTTCTTGCATTTGATCACGTCGTTAAGACGTTTCAAAGTGCTTCACAGGAGGAATTACCGTGCAGCATAGTGGCTGTATTTTATAGGCAAACTGTTTCTGGAGGTACAAATATGTATCTTATGTCTTCATAATCCTATTGTGCACCCCATTATCTTTATAAAGTGAATAATTTAATCATGATCGAACAAAAAAAAGAGGCAGGAGCAAAGCATGAGGAGGTTACCCACCTGCTTTTTCTTGTAGAAACCATTTTTGTCACAATTTGGAATGTATACACCTTTGGGGCTCAGAAATGATACAGCTTTCAGGTTGTTTAGGATGCCTTCCATTTCTCTCCGACAAGGACCCTGGCAAACGGGAAGAAGAAAATGCTCATGATTTTTGTCTACATACATTCCTGAGGATGCCAACACCCCTCCAATAATCCTGTTCATGGTTCTATGGACATTGACAATGCTCTGACACCTCACCTCAGTGAATATTCATCACTCACAAACTCAAGATATTAAATCGGGTGTTGGTAGCCTAGTGGAGCCCAATCCCATTCTCAACTGCTGCACACTTTCCAGTAAAATAATTGCACAGGGATAAGGAGCAGTTACAGAGGTCGATTTCCCTCTCCCCCAGCCAGCAATAGACCAGGCAGACTGAGGCCAATTGCAGCACCCAATTACTGCTCCCAGCCGAGATCAGCAAACTCAACCCAAACCAGGAATCAAACCTGGTCTTGTATGACTGAGTGCCTGACCAGGCAGTCTTTACACACTTAGAAAAGTTTCATTAAGGAATTCCTGATATGCAGCCAAATGTATACTTATTTTGTCAGTCTTTCAATTTCAATTCTAAACCTAATGGAGCTGTTTTAGGCAAACTCGTTTCTTTGAAAAGTGTGTTGAATTTGGAAACCGTGCGGTAGGTATTATAGGTATATAAAGTAGATATTACAGGTATATATAGCTTGTACAAGTAGTTGTTTTTACAAATGGGCTGGGTTCCCAGATACCCAGGCCCGAATAGAACAAAATAAATAAAAAGCTTAAATGCTGTGTTCAGAGGATGCACACTTACATATTCAGTGTCGTGTTTTATTTCCGATGAAAAGTTGGTGGTTTCGGTGTTCTGGGCTTCATTGTTAATCTTGTATAGCTGAGCCTTTCTTGATGCTTCTTTCTGAAGCAGCTTAATGTGCTGTGGGTGAGTAGGTTTGCTGTCCTGCATTCGGTGTGTGTTGGGACTCCACTCATTCCGAGAGTTACTGGCATTCCTTTCTTCGTCTGAATTGTTGACATTTCCTAAAACAGAAGTAGAGGGGGGAGGTGGGGGGGGGTGTCACATGAATATAATTTTCTGAAGAACTCTTACTGAACACAGAGCCTGCGTTCTGCTTTATCTGCGTGAAAAACAATGCACGCAATAGTCAATGGAACACATTTTCACATTTTACCCCCCATTATTTCACTTGATTTCTGTCCTTTTAAGGCTTTTAAAGAGACTGATCACCTACAATCCTTTCTCTCACCAGATGGTGGAGATCTTACATCGCCTAACTACCCTGTTCACTGCATGTACCAAACATCTGTTAGCACCGTTAGCAAAAGCCATCCAGTGAAAGAAACCCAGTAAATCTTGGTGCAACTTTTACGATTTTTTTTCTTCTTTTTTTTTCCAAAACAAAAAAAACTTGCAATCTTCTTCCTCTGGACACAAGTCCGATAGTTGTCAGGGAGTTTTGTTTTGTACACCAATTCATCCTTTGTGTCTTTTAGGGGAAAAAAAAGCGTGAAATCCTGAAAATGATACCCTGAGGATCTGAGCAGGTTGGCACTCTGACTCAGGGCATGGGTTGGCACATTGCCTGGCACACTTCTTATGTGCAATACCAACCAATAACCCCCACCCCCCCCCCCAAAAAAAAAGTACAGGTATCACCAAGCTGATGAAACCCTCGCGGCACCAAGACCGCAGCCCATCACCCATCACCCCACGTGTATCACACATCTTTGCACTCGCGAAATCTAAACTGCAAACCACCACCACACAAAAAAAAAATAATTTTAATTTTTTTTCTGCCCACCCCCCCCAGCTGTGTGCAGAGTGCATTCAAAGGGATAATCATCCAACCCCCCCCCCCCCCCCCCTAATCCCTAACCCCAAACCAGCTCTTCCTAACCAACCCTAATAGCAGGGCAGAGTCGGTGCCAACAGCCACTTCCTATAGGGGAGGAGGAGGAGGAGGAGAGGGGGGGGTTTAATTGGGAATATGGTCTGCAATAGATTTCAGCCATCAGACACAACACTGCAACCCCCCCCACCCCCCCCCCACCCTCTCTCTCTCTCTCTCCCTCTCTCCCCTCCCTCAAGCTGTTGGCCCATCACTTGCACTACAGCAAACTTGCAAACACACTAAAAAAAAATCACACTGAACATTTTTTAGAAAACACTATCGCATCAGAGAGAGGGACTTCTCCACCAGAGAAGTCGCATCGCTTACGGATCAGGGAGGGGTTTTTTTTTAGGTAATAATAATAATTATCATCATCATCATCATCATCAAAAACTCTTTTTCTCACAAGAAACGGGAACATTCAATGGCATCGAAAGATAAATAAAAATCCTGGTTCGGTTTTTTTTTTGGGGGGAAAAAAAAACTTAACACGTCTTTATTGCACTTTTTTCTCCCCCCCCCACCCCCCCCCCCCCCCCCCCCCACCCCCCCCACCCCCAAAAAAAAAATCACAACACTTTATATAAATATAAATATATATTAAAAAAAGTCATGTTTTGCAGTCGCCCCTCCCCCCCCTCCCCACCCCTCCCCCCCCCCACCCCCCCCCCCCCCCCCCCCCCACCCTCCCCCCCCACCCCCCCCCCCCCCCCCCCCCCCACCCCTCTCCCCCCCCCACCCCCCACCCCGTGCACCTGGAGTGCAGAACATGCATTGGGAGCGCGTACCTGCAGAGCTCAGGGGGAGGCGGTGTCTGGCCGTCTCGTTGGTGCAGACGCCCCTGCCCTCCAGCAGGGACTGCAGGGGTCTGGTCTCGCCGGCCTGGGGCAGACAGGTGAGGCCCGAGGCACAGCGCTCGGTGTAGACGCCGCACGGCTGCCCCTGGCGGAGGGCGCAGGTGGTGCAGCAGCCGCAGCCCGGCTCCCGCACCGGCTCGCACTCGCCCACCAGCCGCCGGCACTGCCCCAGCGCCCGGGAGTCGCACGGCTCACAGCGGACCACAGGTCCCAGAGAGGCCGCTACCTTCAGGGTGACGGCGGCCACGGCGAGTACACAGAGGGCGTACACCATACTGATCACTGCCCTCTCCCTCTCTCTCCCTCTCTCTCTCCCTCTCTCCCTCTCTCCCCCCTCTCTCTCTCCCCCTCTCTCTGTACTCTGGGTCTGTGTTACACCTCTGCTCTGCCCTCACTTCGTTTGGTTTTTTGCTGCCCCTCTCTCTCTCTCTCTCTCTCCCTCTCTCCCCCTCTCTCTCTCTCTCCCCCTCTCTCTGTACTCTGGGTCTGTGTTACACCCTCTGCTCTGCCCTCACTTCGTTTGGTTTTTTGCTGCCCCTCTCCCTCTCTCTCTCCCCCTCTCTCCCCCTCTCCCCCTCTCTCTGTACTCTGGGTCTGTGTTACACCCTCTGCTGTGCCCTCACTTCGTTTGGGCTTTTTGCTGCCCCTCTCTCTCTCTCTCTCTCTCTCTTTTTTTGCAGGTTTCTTTCTTTCTTTCTTTGCAAAATAATAATAATAATAATAATAATTACTAATGATAACACGAAAGAGAGAGAGAGAAAAAAAACTCCCCTCTTTTTTAAACAAAAACCTCACCCCCCCCACACCACACCACACCCCCAAAAACAAAAATTGCAAAGAATAATTTTTTTTATATATGTATCATATATATATATATATATCAAAAAAACTAAACTAAACTACTGCTGCTGCTAAAACAACAACAACAACAAAAAATAAGGTGACACGAAATGAGAGGCAAAACTGCAAATTCAGCCGGAAACTTGCAGGAAAGTTTTTTCCCCCTTCTCTCTCTCTCTCTCTCTCTCTCCCTGTTTCCCCCTCTCTCTCCCTGTTTCCCCCCTCTCTTTGCAATAAACTTTACCCGATGGCACTCTCTTCGACTCCGAGAAACCAGGAGCGAATGCAGGTTCTCTTATATCAGAGCAGGAGAGAGCCCGCCCCCGGAACATGAATAACTCACTCGTCTCCCATTGGATTGCCGCACGTGGTTATTTGCTGATACAGGTTTCGGGGCGGGGCAACTCCGTCCCCCCCCCTCTCCCCCCATTCGCAGCTTCTCTTTCTTCACCTCCAAAGTGGCTGAAGCCAAACTAACCCCAGAACACGGATAACCAATACCACTGACATCTCGGACTTGGAGAACACCCTGAGCTACTCAGGATGCAGGGCACCACACTGCTTCCACCCCCCCCCCCCCCACCCACCCCACACCCCCTCTCTCCTCCTCATTGGGATAGTGCCAATTCCTGATTGCGCCCTCAAAGATGAAATCATTATTTCAAAGCCTCAGGAACCCCGAGTCCGTAAACCCCGTCTGCATTATCATCTGTATGCAATGCAAACAATACTCTGCGCCGAGAGGGGCTGCATCCCGCCACGGGAGGTGATTAAAGTCAATCGGTTCGAAAACCGTCAGTGCAAAACCGCTCTCAGTCCCGGATAGAATTTCTCTTTTCTTATTAAAGCTGCGTTCACCCGAGGCAACCCCGACTTTTAAGCGATTTTAGGCTAATAAATGGTCCCCGAAACAACCTGGTTTCGTTGCACGTAATACATAACGCGTCCTGTCTGTGTCTCGTTGCAACCGGTCGCGCCGCCTCTCTCCGCCTTCGCTGGAAGTCGCTCTGCGGACAAATCGCGCGTAAAGGAAACTGTGCGAGACCCGACTCTGCGGGTCCCGCTGTTCCCGGTGTACCTGCCGCAGTCTGGAGTTCGCAAGGAGGTGCTTTTCGCAGCAGATCCGGATCGCTGCGAAAGTTGCAAAGGGATTTCACACGGCGGGGACTGCACTGGGACTGCACTGGGACTGCACCGTGTGGAGCTCTCGCGTTAAAGTGCATTAACAACCCGAAGCCATTCAGGAGAACAGAGCCCTCCCCCGACCCCCGGTTTCAGGGAATATTTTTCCAAACGTTCCCTGCGGACACCCCGACCGATAGTCGTGTTATTGTCTTACCAAACTGTACGTGATCTGCAAGCTGTCCAGCCTGCAGGGAGGAGTACGGTACGGCACTGTATTAATGGTAGGAATTAAACAAAACATTGCCACAGTGGTTCGCGCAGATGGTTTCAAACTTCCTTTGTTTTTGCCCCAAAAAGGATATCGATCAGAATTGGACTGGAGTCAGTGGGTGGGTGGGGGGGGGGGGCGGTGGAAAGTGTTTTCCGAAAGCTGCTTCAGTGCAAAGCATTGCGTCTGAGGTTGAAATTGCCCCCCCCCCCACCCCTTTTTTTTTCGCCTGCGCTTTAACCCGGGTGAAGGCAGCCAGGGCTTGAATCTGGGATTGTTTAAACCGTGTCCTAGCAACTGAGTACACCCCGAGCAGCCCGTGACTCCAGGACCAAAGGTACAAAGACGTTCACAGGCATTGCAAAATTGCTGCATTCCTCCACTGTGTCTCGACGCACAACTTTCCTGCGCTCGGGGTGTGGGGGTGTGTGGGTGGGGGGCGGGGGGGGGTGGGGGTGTGGGGGCGGGGGGGTGGGGGGTGTGGGGGGGGGGGGGGGGGGTGGATGGGTGGGTGTGGGGGTGTGGGTGGGTGGATGGGGGGTGGAGGGGTGGGATGGGGGGTGGTGGGGGTGGGGTGGGGGTGGGGGGTTGGGGTGGGGGGGGAACACGATCAGATGCTCAAGTTACACGATCCTCTGTATCCTGAGTGAACAGTTCCTTGAGTACAGCGGTGTTGATGTTGCACTCACAGCAGCGAAGCGCACGGTGTCAGAGGGCGATTGAGCGGCATTTCGCACCCGTACCACTTCATTCTTTTCACCGCGGGGCAATGTCTCCGCTCTGCTCTGCTCTGCTCTGCACGGCTCTGCTCTGCTCTGCACGGCTCGGGTCGGCTCTGCACGGCTCGGCTCTGCTCTGCACGGCTCTGCTCTGCACGGCTCGGCTCTGCTCTGCACGGCTCTGCTCTGCTCTGCACGGCTCGGCTCGGCTCTGCTCTGCTCTGCACGGCTCGGGTCGGCTCTGCACGGCTCGGCACGGCTCGGCTCGGCTCGGGTCGCTTTCCTGAGTCGTCTGCAGTTCTGTGCATATGTGCAGCTGCAGCCAGAGCAGGAGGACAGCGCCGCGGGCCATGGGGTGAAGGTGCCCGGGCACTGACTTCACACCCAGCGGCTGCTCCTCCGCTTTCATCGAGTGCACATTCACAACAGGTAACAGCAAAAGGAAGAGCACGTTGTCGGGTGCAAAGGAAATCGAACCGCGGAAGGAGTTATTTTAGATCTCTTTTGCTCGGGAAAGAAAAACAATCGGGAAAGAGCTTATCTCATCTCAGGTTATCACTGGGAGGTCAATATTGGGGATATTGCTCCAGCCTCCCTTTCCTGGCTCAGTGTCACCACCATGTACCCCCGGCTCCCACACAGCTGCCCCACTCCCAGATGTATGTGTGCAGGAAGCCCCCCCCCCCACCCCCCCCCCACCCCATGGTTCACGCTGTAGACCAGTCTCTCTCGGCACCAGTTAAGCGTTATGGGTGGGATGAGGGCTATGTTGGCGTTTGGTTAACGACGAGGTTGGGTTTAGCCCCGAGTTGACACTAGTTTCGAGCCAGGTCCAGTTTTAGGAAAGAAACAGCTTCCATTTGCTCGGTGCCTCTATCGGGTCGAAGCGCTCGGCAGACAATTCGGTCAAGTGTAGTGACTGTTTTTTTTGTGTGTGCAGACTGGGAAACGGACGCCAGGAGCAGCCACGAGGAGTGTGAAGCAAGGAGAGGTTTTTGGGGGGGTTGTGGTGGGGGGTAAAGTGAGGGGTGGGTTAGTCTGTGGTTAGTTTCAGACTTGTCAAGAGTTCAGGTTGGATTGAGTGAGATGAGTGTTGGGTGAGTGAGGACACACTAACATTAGAGCTGAATTGGTTTTGGGGTCTGATAGGATCACGTTATGAAGTGGAAGAGTGTTTGGGGGTCGGGGGTGGTGTTGGGGGGTAAATAAAGTCATTACAGGGGGGGATGTGTGTGTGTGTGTGGGGGGGTACCCAATCAGAGCAGCGACACAGACCAACACTCAGTGTATATAAAATAATAATAATAATAATAATCCTCGCATTTGATATAGCGCCTCATCACCGTCTCCGAGACGTCTCGAAGCGCTTCACGCAGAACATGAAGTGAATCGACGGTACATTTTGCGGGCAAAGTGGGCGGCAGCCGATTGCCCGCAGCAGCATCCCGCAAACAGCGGTGGATTGAAGCGCGCAATGCATTTAAAACCCAAATAAAAAAAATCATCCTGAAACCTGACCAGTCACTGGTCATCTGCAGTGCACCAGCGGCGTTTCACTGCGGGAACACGTTCGGATCGTAGCATTGGCAAAATGCCTTCCAGGGTTAGTGCAGGTGGAATTCCTGGTCATTCCCATTTCTGCCCTGAACACGATCCCTGATCTACATGTCAGACAGACAAACCGCCTGCCATGAAATCAGATGGGATCGTTATTGATCACCTTTGAATGAAACCTGCCCCCGTCGTTTCCTTATCCATCCCTGAACCTTTTTTTTTCTACCCTCTCTCTTTTTTTTTAAACAAAAAACAAAAAAAGACCCACGACTTATGAGGACGGGGGAGCAGCAGCAGCTGCTGCTGTTAAGAGGCTGTGCTGTGCGGTGATGGTGATCTCTCGCCTTTCTCGTGTTAGGAGCTTTAATTTGAAAGCGACGTCGAGAAGTTTCGTTTGGGGAAATGGTATTCATTTGCAATCTGAAGGATCGCTCCCCAAACCTGTACCACACCGGGAGGGACCTGTGTGGGGAGTAAGACCAGAGTGCAGAGTGATACTCACTCACTCACCCACCCACTCACTCACTCACCCACTCACTCACTCACTCACTCACCCACTCACTCACCCCACCCACCCACCACTCACTCACCCACCCACCCACTCACTCACCCACCCACTCACTCACTCACTCACTCACTCACTCACCCACCCAGCCACTCACTCACCCACCCACCCACTCACTCACTCACTCACTCACCCATTCACTCACTCACCCACCCACCCACTCACTCACTCACTCACTCACTCACCCACCCACTCACTCACCCACCCATTCACTCACTCACCCACTCACTCACTCACTCACTCACTCA